GGTCACATCATCGATCACAATGGGGTCTCAACAGATCCCTCCAAAGTTGAAGTTATTGCAAGCATGAGAAGCGTGGACCTCATGGACACTGACGGGGTGACTCCTTCCCAACGAAAGGTCAGATCATTTTTGGGGATGATTAATTACTACCAACACTTTGTCCCCATGTACTCTGCTGTTGCCAGACCTCTGTTCGAGCTCCTGAGAGGTGCTGTGAAGAAGGGTAAAGGCACAACTAAGGTGAGGCGGCCATGCAGGAAGTTGAGTGCTTCGGATTGGACATCCAGGGAAGAGGAGGCTTTTGAGAAGCTCAAGAGCTTGATGTTAAATACAGTCGTTTTGGCTCACCCTGACTTCTCGCCCCTTTTTGCTGTCAACTGACGCATCACTGGATGGCATTGGAGCAGTGTTGGCCCAAATCCAGGATGGTGGAACTAAGCCCAGACCGATTGCTTTTGCCAGCAAATCACTGTCTCAGTCTCAAAGAAACTATCCAGCACACAGACTGGAGTTTCTGGCGTTAAAGTGGTCAGTTTGCGACAAGTTCAGTCATTGGCTCAAAGGTCACAAGTTCACCGTCTGGACTGATAACAACCCCTTGACCCACATTTTGACCAAGCCAAAGCTGGACTGTTGTGAACAACGTTGGGTAGCTAAACTTGCAAGCTATGAATTTGACATTAAATATGTTCCAGGCCGTCAGAACATAGTGGCGGATGCCCTGAGCCATTTGCCTTTTGTGAAGGATAATATAAGTAACAGACTGCTGGCTGAGAGATATGCAGACTTCTTGGATGAGGCAAAAGATGTTTCGCATTCATCAATCCAGAGGGCGTTTCGGTCGTCCACTGACTGCAAGATGGATGGTGGGGATTCCATCTTCTCCCAAGGAGCGCACAGTCTGGATCCCCTGGTTCTGTCTGGAGATGCTGTCACAGCTTTTTTGCAGTCACATGTCGAGTGGGATGTCGGCCCAAGAGGGAGAGCAATAGAGGCTATACATCACCTGCCACAGATGGTGTCCCCCGGTCTGGAGGCCTTACCTGCCTATTCAGAGAGAGAACTTAGGGACGCACAGCTGCAGGACGCAGTGCTTTCCCGCGTCGTCTTCTACGTTGAAAGGCACAGGAGACCCTCGAGGAGAGAGCGGGTAGGGGATCCAATCCTTGTTAAAAGATACCTGAGCCACTGGGAGAAGCTGGTCCTCAACAACGGTGTGTTGTACAGAGTCTCCAGTGACCAGATATCAGGTAACAGACGACTGCAGTTCGTGGTTCCTGACTCGTTGAAGGCTGAAGTCCTCCGAGAGATACATGATGATGCCGGTCACCAGGGCCAGTTCAGAAGTTTAGACCTGGCTAGAAAGAGATTTTTCTGGTTGAACCTCGGGCGTGACGTGAGAGACCATGTACGGGGATGCCAGCGCTGTGTAGTCAGTAAGACTATCGAACCAGAGGGGCGTGCTCCTTTGGTCAGCGTGTCCTCGTCTCGACCATTGGAGTTGGTCTGCATTGACTTTTGGTCAGCTGAGGCCTCACACAACAAGTCCGTCGACGTCTTGGTCATCACAGACCACTTCACTGGCTGGGCGCAGGCCTTCCCATGCAAGGACCAGTCGGCTAAACAGGTTGCAAGGCTTCTCTGGGACAGGTACTTCTGTGTGTTCGGGTTCCCGGAAAGGATACACAGCGACCAGGGTGCTAATTTTGAAAGCCAATTGATAAGTGAGCTCCTCAGAGTCTCTGGTGTGAAGAAGACACACACGACGCCTTACCACCCGATGGGGAATGGCAGTGTGGAGCGCTTCAACCGTACTCTGGGTGGAATGATTCTGTGCCCTGCCACCAGACTCGAAAGTGGACTGGCCGCGTCGGCTACAGACTTTGACGTTCATGTACAACTGCACCGCACATGAGACAACTGGGTTTGCACCGTTTTACCTGATGTTTGGCCGCACGCCCCGCTTGCCCATTGGCATTCTGTTCCGCTCTGTCCTGAGCGATCCTGCTGTTACCTGTTATGACAGGTATGTGGTTTCCCTCAGGGAAGATGTGAAGGAAGCAATGGTCATTGCACGCGCTCGAGCTTCACAGGAGAAGCGTCGTCACTCGCACCTCTATAACAGGAGAGTGAAGGGTTCCAGGATTGAGGTTGGTGACAGAGTCCTGGTTGCTAACAGGAAGGAGAGGGGAAAGAAGAAGGTTGCTGATCAGTGGGAGTCAACGGTCTACACAGTGGTCGATGTGAACCATGATACTCACACTTTCAAGATCCGTGATTCTGTTTCCGGACGAGAGAGAGTGGTCCACCGGAATCTGCTGTTGGTAGTGAATTTCCTGCCCCTGGAGGATGATGTTGGAACCTCGGATCACGTCTCCTCTACGTGGGATATGGACACGGCACCTGAAGATGATGATGGGGCTGCGTCTGGGGAGAGGGATTTGAATACCCCTGCTGCGTGCTGGGGTGGTGTTCATGGTAACCGCTCACCCGATGCCATGGATGGGACAGCTGTCCTGAGGCTCAAAATTTGATAAAATTCAGTGGGGGTGAGTGTAACGGAGTTAAAGATACATCTGGAAAAAAAACATGCACTTACCTGTTCTTAATTAATATTTTAAGTGTGAATTTTATCATTTTTGTTGTTGCTGTATTTTATTTTGAAAACCCAGAAACCGGATCTCATTCTGACGTTTAGAAGCTGCTAAGGCTACCGCTCCTCACAGCGTGCGCTTGCACTGTGAAGGTAAGTTCAGTAATGAAAGACTCTGGCATTTTTATGGTTTCTGGTGTGAATGTTGTTACATAAGTTGTACATGTCGATGTATATAGGTTTATATTGATGTTAGGATGTTTCTGTGTAACCGAAACAAAAGGGTGGTTGCTGTTAAACAGTGTTTCTGCCGTGTTTATGCTCTTTGGCAGTAAGCTTTTGTCAGCCCTATAACAGTTGCTGCACATAACAGGAAATGTGTTTGGATTTACTGCTTTTCTGTGGTTTTTGTAATATTGTTTTACATTGTAGGAGCTACAATTGCTGGTACCATCAGAAGACACCTGTTGAGTGTGTTTTATGTCTTCTGCAGGTACGTGAGCTTCTTAACAGTCATTTTGTCTGTAAAGCGCAAGCAAGTGAAAGGGTAGTGAGCTACCGTTAATCAAATCCACCTTCTGTGCCAGAGCCTGAATCTCAGCCAAAGTTCCAAGCTTATGACTCATCTCGACAATTATATGAGTTTGAGTTTACAGCATGATGCATTCCATCCCTGAGCTCCGGGATTAAGCCAATATTCCTCTAAAGCTCATTAATTTTCCGGTAAGATGTAGTCAGTTTGTAGTGATTTTGTGATCACAGCTTTGGAACCTTTGAGAATGGTGCCATCATCAACGGTTAACTCATCCGTGAAAGGAAAGTATGGGTGAACTGCCGTGGGAAGATTGTGTAATCGTTGCAGCCACCCGTGTTTGATAATCGAAGTGAGTGCTTGCAGGGTCTCATCTTTAGCTGTGTGTCTTTTAAGTTCCTCTGGACGTGACGAAGATATGCAGCTTACTGTCATCACATCAAAGTTGTCTTCCTCATCATACTGCTGGAATATGGAGCTGCTGGGAGCATGAGATGGAGTGTCAGCCAGATACATTTCTTTCCCAGTTTTATACGTGAGCGTGACATTGTATTTTTGGAGCCTTAACAACATCTTTTGTAATCTGGCTGGGGCGGCATGTATCAGTTTCTTTAAAATGGTGACCAGTGACTGATGGTCCGTTTCTACGACCACAGGCTTGCCATAGACATAGTCATGAAACTTTGTGCATGCGAAAACCACTGCCAGTAGTTCTTTCTCTATCTGAGCATATCTGGTCTCAGTGTCTGTCATGGTGCGTGAACCGGACGCTACAGGTTGTCCTTGTAGGCAGGCTGCACCGAGACCATACTGTGATGCATCGCATGTCAGTGTCACAGGTTTGTTGACATATGTCAGAACAGGTGGATTGGTCATTTGCCCTTTAAGTGCTTCAAACGCATTCTGGTGCTGTGTGTCCCACATCCACTCAGTGTCCTTGTGTGTGAGCTGTCGCAGAGGAGCTGACAGATGGCTAAAATTTGGAACGAATTTTCCTTGGTAATTGACCATCCCCAGGAATCCCTGCAGGGCTTGGACATCAGGCAGTAAGCACGTAGTCCCATTTTGTGCTTCCTGCATGTGGTCTTGAGGTGTGTTGTGCGGGCCTCTTCATAGGTAAGGCCACGGTCATGTGGCCCATTCCGCAGTTAGCTTGTATTGCTATTGCAATGTTTGAGAATTGAGTGGATTTAACAGATAAAATGTTATTTTGTTAGGTATGCTAGAAAGGGCTTCACCTGCTTGTTCAGAGAGAAAGTTCAGTTAAACATGTTTGAAAAGGTCTAACAAAAAAACGTATTTCTTGTTCTGACGTCTCATTACCGCCTCCAGTTAAGCAAAAAACAACAGTCCACCTAAAAACACTTCAAATAAATATGGAAGAACAAAAATGTGTCTTCTATATTATTATATTATGAAATAACCATCGTATGCACTAAAATTACTTGGCTCCTAACCAAGCTCCCACAATGCCGCTCTAAAAATGGTCCCATCCTGGAAGTAAGAAAAATTGCAGTTCCACCCTCATCCGCTGGGGGCTGGTGCCAGAAGCGAGCAAATCCTCATTGACTCCCATGTTAAAAATGCCGATTTCACAGCAGAAATAAACATGTTTACAGCCTGGTTCCAAAAATTGTTTTTCGTCTAAATTATCTAGTTTATACTCATGACAACTCTGAGGGGGGTGAATTTTTTTCTCACTCTTCTGTTTAAGTGTATTGAAAGCCTAAAATTCTGTATAATTAATGAGCAGCTGACACACGTGACTGCCGCCTCAGACCCACGTGACCACAGAGCTAGCTCCGTGGAAAGGCCTCAGTACAGCCTCGGTCCCTCCTGGAAACTGTGTCGGGATTTTCAGTCTCTGTACTTGTGAATTCTGTTTTGGATAATATTGGTGCAATTGTTGGACAAAATGACTTGCTGTGGTATTAATTGCACTAATAGAGCGTCCAAGGAGTCTCCACTTCATTTTTTTCGGTAAGTTAAAATCTATATTTGTATTTTATGTCACTGCCGCGCCTTTAAACTAGCTGAGTTTACAGAAGTAGCTAGCTAACTATCAGTTTAACATGTAGCATGTACTGTTTAACCATGAAATTTAAATGTAAAATACGGTAAAATAATTAATACAGGTTTTCCGCGTGGCATTAAAAAGCATTAAAAGTCATTAAATGAAATTTTCAAAAATTAAGGCCTTAAATGGCATTAAAAAGCATTAAATTAGATTGTCAGTGGCATTAAATTTTCTCAAGAAATATTCTTAAATAATTTTATTTTTTTTTGTCTTTATTGTGATCTGTTGTGAAATTGTATGATAAGTACGTTTGAGTAAACACGCTGGCGGAACCATTTCGATTACTTCTGTTCCGACTCGTTTCTTGTCGAATTGTCGTAAAACCGGATGTTCGACAATAAGCTGGCGCGCTGGATCGTGAGGAGTAAATGTTTGGAAAATGGGGAAATGCAAATTCCAGCAAAAGTGGTTGGAAATCAACGAATTCAAGGTATGGCTGCAGCCCGTTAATGGTCAAGATGGAGAAGGATTTTGTACTGTTTGTAAAAAAAAATTTAAACTTGGTACAATGGGTGTGAACGCTGTGAAATCGCACATGCAGTCGGACAACCACAAAGCAGTCGTAAAAGGCAGACAGCAGCCAACTGTGACTAGTTACTTTTCTGTAACTAGCAACGCGACGTCTTCTACAACTACCACGACCACAACAAGCAGCACAACTGCAGCTGTGAACCCTGCCGTCGGAACATCAAGCACGCTTCAAAAATCGTTTGGATCACCTGCGGTGCTTCAGGCAGAGGTGCTCTGGTGTCTGTACACTGCCGTGCAGCACCACTCCTACGCATCCAATGAAGGTGTTTCGGAGTTGTTCCAGGCAATGTTTTCGGATTCTGAAATGGCTAAATCTTTCACCTGTGGAAAGGACAAGACAAGCTACGTTTTAAAGTTTGGACTCGCCCCACAGTAGACTCGCCGAACTGATTTCTGCAGCTAACAATGCTGGACCATTTGTGCTGATGTTTGATGAAAGCTTCAACCAGTCCACCAAAAATAAACAACTAGACGTCCATATTCGATTTTGGGAGGCTGGTGCTGTCCAGTCACGTTATCTTGGATCTCAGTTTATGGGACATTCAAAGGCTAAAGATTTGCTGCACCATTTCAAAGTGAGTATGTTTGTACTTTTTGTTTATGAAGTGATATTCCGATGAATAAAAGAGACAAGATGTGTTCATTTTGTTGAGGCTTTTTGCTTTTAGATAGTTTTAATAAGCTAATTTTGAAATTACTATAAGCACATTTCAAATCAAACATGTTGGTGTAATGTTTTCAGGTTTTCTTTTTCATATCAAATAATTAAATTTATTTTTTTGTATTCATAGGATTGTGTGCGCCTGCTAGACATGAAGAACCTCCTTTCCATCAGTATGGATGGGCCAAATGTGAACTTGAAGTTTTTAAATGATTTCCAGCAAGAGCATGCTGAACTACATGGAGGCCGCCAATTAATTAATGTTGGAAGCTGTGGACTGCACACTCTGCACAATTCATTCAAGACATAGGCATGTTGACATAGGCTTGGGTGCTGAGTCTGCCATTAAGGTATTGTTTATTTTTTATATGTATATTTAAAAAAACCTAAAACAGTGCATTAATTCCCTATGTATTAATTACTCGATGCTATCCCTCCTTGGTAGGCTCTTCAAAGCAAACCTAACAACAGAGTAGGTGACCTCACTGCCCTCGAATTTAGAAAGGACTGCATAAGATGCCTCTCAAGCATTGTTAAGAAAGTGCAAGAGAAGAGCCCTTTGAAATACCCCACTGTCAGGCAGATTGCATGCTCGGACCCCTCCATCATGAGCAGAGACCCAGAATGGTGCAAGGGAAAGATGAAGTCTCTAGTTCAGAGATTTCTGCAGGACAAGCAGTTGACAGGAGGGATTTCTGCTGGTAGGAATGTTAAAGGGAATGCTTTAAAATAAAGGTTATGACCACACTTTAATGCATGAGAAATATTCTCAATACACTCTAAGGTTTAAAAACAGTTTTGCTTTTTATTGTTGATCAAGTTATTTTAATGCACATGTTGCATGATATATATATATATATATATATATATATATATATACACACACACACACACACACACACACACACACACACACACACACAAAACGTTTACATATCGTGTACCAATGTGATGTCTGAATAACTGTCCATCCATTTAAGTGGATTAGATTTAATTACTGCTTTTTGTGTTTGCTTGTTGCAGGTGATGCTGTTGTGCAACAGTTTGACAGCTTTCTCTCTCTGCATGGCAAAAGTGAGGAGCTCCTCTCTTTCAAACCCATGGAGCAAAGACTTGATGTTTTTCTTTGTGACGCTCTCAACCAGACTTATCCTGAGCTCTGGAGTTTCCTTCAGCACCTGTTGCTCCTATCTCATGGGCAAGCTACAGTAGAGAGAGGCTTCTCTGTGAACAGGGAAGTAGAGGCTTGCAACATAAAAGAAGAAACTGTTGAGGCCCAAAGACTAGTCTGTGACCAAGTTAGAGCTTGTGGGGGGGTTCTCAAAGTTCCCCTCACAAAAGAGCTATAGCATCTGTAGCATCAGCCAGGACTAGATATAGGATCTACCTTGAGGAAGAGAGACAAAAGAGAGAGGGTGCCATGCGTGGACTTAAGAGAAAAGCATTGGAAGATGAGCTAGAACAGCTGAAAAAGAAAAAGAGATATTAAGGGTGGTGTGTGTCAGCCTTCAGAAAGATGCTGATCAACTAGCTGAACAGGCAGAAAACAAACCGAGCACGCTCATGGCTCAAATGATAACAAAGTCTAATACTCTAAGGAAGAGATACAGGGACAAATGCAGTGAACTGACAAATGTTGAGTCAGAGCTGGAATAAAAAACTAGTGAGCTAAGGCACATGCATTAATCCTGTTGTGTGAAAAAAATGCTGTAGCATGTTCAATAACATGTAACATTCCATGCAACCATGTATTTGCTATGTTCTAGGCATACATTTTTTTGTTTATCTCAGGGTACATTATAATACACTGAGTTCTCTGAGGATTTTTTTATGTACATATATATCCGTGGATTCTCACGTGTTTGTTTATGGCATTAAAAAGGTTAAAAATGGCATTAAAATGGCATTAAAAAGCATTAAATTTGTTTTGCTGATTTCTGCAGAAACCCTGTAATAGGGCATATTTCGATAGGTAAAAGGGTAAAGGTGTTTTCATCTGAACCCTTAAAATCTCCAGCAGGCTATGCTGCACTATTGATGTGTTAGCGCGCGGCGCTAACAACTTAGCAACGTGACATGTCTCTGAGAAAGCGTAAAACACGGACGCTTCTTCTGAAGCGGAAAATAACACTTCTTCTTAAGCAGAGCAGGATGTCGCCTCGGCTCGTTCACGGCCGAGCCGGACTGAGCTCGATAACATTGACCAAGCACAGCCACTGGGTCGTTGTAGCTGCCACCAGGCCTGCTGAAGGAACACCAGCGGGTTTCATCAGACTCGTAAAGTTTCTTGTTTTTGCTGGGGATTTCTGTATTTTACCGCTCCCTCCTAGCCTAGTGAACTAGACCAAATTCTTGCGTTGCAAAGTATGGTCTAGAAACGCTCCATTGTAACCTCCACAGCTCCCACCAGAACACTGGCTGGCCAATCACAACTGTCTTTGGTGGTTGTTGGACCAATCACAGCACTATATGTTGTGGGCCAATCACAGCGCTATATATTGCGGTCCAATCATAGCGCTTTATATTGTGGGCCAATCACAGTACTCTAATCAGCGGTGTAGCGGAAGACGTCAGAACTGCGACTGCGAACCGATGCCGCGAACACAAACAACATGGCAGCAGCTCTGAAACAACGTTCGTTTGAAACGGCTTTGTCGGCAACATTGGACGATTTAGACTTGGGCTTTTCTTTAAAACACGAACAGATAGAGGCACTAAAGTCCTTCATTTTTCAAAAGGATGTATTTGCTGCGTTGCCGACGGGATACGGTAAAAGTTTAATTTACCAGCTAGCTCCGGTTGTTGCTAAACGAATGGGACTCAGTGAAAACCCACTTGTGGTTATAGTCTCACCGTTGATCGCCCTTATGGAGGACCAGGTGAAAGAGGCGAGTAAATTAGGACTAACTGCCATGCAACTTGGCGTACACACTTTGAAGGACATTCGAAAAGCCAACTGTCAGTTGATATTTGGTAGTCCAGAAGCCTGGCTCATGCAAAGTAAATGGAGAGAAATGTTGTCTACAAAGACCTTCAGAGATAACCTCTTGGGGATCGTTGTGGATGAGGTACATCTGATTTACAAATGGTGAGTAGCAACACATAACCTAGCCTGGCAAGCCATCCAAAAATAATGTTGCTTCAGCAAATGATGGTCTATAATGTAGGCTACATATAACCTACATTTCTAAGCAATTACATTATGTCTGAATGATGAAGTTTACAACCAGATGTTAAGTTATATTCACTATAAACTCAGATTTTTGAAATTAAACAAAACCTAATATTTAGAGTTGAATGGTGTTGGAATTAGACTTTACAATTTGCTGACTTTTTGCCCAGGGGAAAAGCTGATAAAGGACACAAGGCCTTCAGAGAGTGTTTTGCAAAGTTGGGTGAACTGAGGTCAATTGTGAGACGGGGTGAGTAGGTCAACATTATACAATAAAATCCTATACTGCATCTATATTATTGATTATGTGATGGTGGTATTTAAGTCGCTGCATTTATCCCTTAAAACACACACACGCACATACAGCATCCCCTCCTTACTCTGCACCACCATAATGTGTTAGAACTGTCATCCCACTTATGTGTGTGAGAAAATTGGCACTTTGCTCAAAATAAACTCAGATCTTAGCTGACAATATATACATTAATTTCTAACACACAATCCTTAACTTATTAGTAAATGCGTATATGTTCAAAAAAGTGTAGCAATGTATAAACACATTATTCAGATGTTAATGCATTTTCCTTTTCTTTCAGGTACACCCATTTTGGCATTGACGGCTACAGCAGACCTGGATTCCCGAGCCATTATCCAAAAACAGCTACATTTTGAGGATGCTACTCAAGTCACTGTTAGCCCCAACCGAAAAAATATTCGGCTTGGGCTTATCAAAGCGTCTTCCCATACTTTTGACTGCCTGGACTGGATTGTGAGAGAACTGAAAGAGCATGACACCAACATGTTTCAAGTAATCATTTACTGTCGAACACTGACAGCTGTTGGAAGGGTGTTCTGTTACCTGAAAGCAGAACTTGGTGAGGACTGTTGGGCTGATAAAGATCCACAACGCAGGGCAGAAAATTTAAGAATTGGGATGTTTCATAGTCACACCCTTCCTCAAAACAAACGCAGAATACTGGATTCATTTGGTGGAGATGGTCCCTGCAGAGTTGTTGTGGCAACAAGTGCTCTGGGAATGGGACTAAACTTTCCTAAAATATCTCACGTAGTTATGTATGGTGTAACAGAGGATATGGAGGCCATTCTGCAGGAAGCTGGTAGGGCCGGGAGAGATGGTTCTCTGTCACATGCCGTTATTTACAGACTCAGTCTAAACACTAATGTGGATGAGGGACTTAGAACGCTACTAAAAAATAGCAGCAAAAGTTGCTTTCGAAAGGCACTATTCTCGCAATTTGAAAACAACACTGACAGTGTAGTGCCGGGACATTTGTGCTGCACATACTGCCACTCTGTATGTTCATGTACCTCAGCAGGTTGTGACATGGCTGTACCTAAATATGAACAGGCACCACTGGAGGTTTCTGCACCAGGCCAAATCAGAGAGGTTACGGAGGATGAAAAAGATCTGATTCGGAATCTGTTACACACTTACAAGCTCAGCTTGGTTCCTGAAACTCATCTGTACACAAACAGCACATATTGTACTGGTTTTAGCGATGAGCTAATCAACTCTGTTCTGGAGCACTGCGCAGAGATATTCGACTTGAACTTTATTATGAACAATCTCCCAGTGTTCAGCAAAAGGCATGCCCAAGAAATACTCAGGATATTATTTGAAGTGTTTGAAGATTTTAAATTCACAGAATTAGATTTTCCTCCAGAAGACTTTGTGGTCCCAGACCCAAATTACATGGGTTACTTTGATGAGGACACCGAGGGGAATGTCCTCTCACAATGTAGCAGTTTAGAATCTGGCCTTTCTGCTTTGAGTACTGACTCTCAAAACAATTAAGTTGTAATTAATGTTTGTTAAATAGTTATGCCCTTTAACCAGACCATCAATGGCAAAACATGTTTCATAATGTGTAATAACTGACATTTATGCAGGTTGTTTAACTTTTTTTTGTTAGTGTAAATATTGTTCCTGATTTACTGTTATAACCCCCTACAACATTATTTTACTGTTTTAAACAACTATATTGTTAATGTTTGTCACTGTGTGTCTTTTCAGATGGCTACATGTAAATAAATCTCAAAGTCATTTATTTTCTTTGTGTTTAATTCAACACTAGTAACAAAATGCTGACAAAAACATTTGCTTAAGTAAGTCACGGGACAGGTAATGAAATAGTAAAAAAATATATATACATACATACACTACACACGCACACACACAGACAAAGCATTTACAGTGTGTCTACAGACCTTATAGTGTTTCAAAGTGTGCCCTTCATATTTTCCGATTTCTCCACTCCTTCAGTTTTCCGTTCATCCACTGCCAGAGATCTTTATGTTTAATCCGCAGAAGATTTTGATCAAAGCCTGGGAAGGCCTGAAACCGTCTACCATGAATAACTTTAAACAACTGCTCCTCCTTGAAAACCTCTACCAGTGTTAAAACATCAGTTTCTTGCTGTGCAGCACGATGGGTGCCAGTTGGACTTTTGACACCCAACTCTTCATCTACTTTGTCCATCATTCCTCTAAAAACACCAATGCACTGACTGACCCGACGTGCTGCTTCTTCAGACAAATTTGGACCCAGACCCTTCAGGAAAGACTTGAGGAAGTTATTCAGGTGTTCCAGATGAAGATCAAGGGGTATGTTGCAACCCTTCCCACCCCGGGTGCTCCAAAACCTGTTCCAGGTTACCCTGTGTGCCATCTGGGGTGTCAGAGATGCGTTTACCTGCAGCGTCAGTAGAAAGGTACTGTAGGCATAATGGCTGTGACCGTATGCTTTGTAATACAGAAGGGCTACCCTGTACAACCTCATTAGTCTCTCCCCATCACCCTCTTTAACAGCATCCAACATGTCCATGAGAAAGAACCCAAAGCTAAGCCGCGCCAAGGTGTGTTCTTGTTTGTGATCACGGTTGGAAGATGGTGTGTGTTCATGCAGTTCTGTCAAAGACATCTGTATGTGATGCTTTTTAAGCTCATGGTTGTCTCGGGATTTGAGATAGGTGTAACTTTGTTGACAACCGTGAGCTCTACAGGGATAATGTTTCTTATGAGTAGAGCTCAGGGGGGATTCAGTGACACCAGCAACAGCCTGTGGCACATCCCCAAGCATGATACACTTGTCCACCACCTCAGATGTTCTTTCATGTAACCAGACTCTCCTTAACTCAGGTGCAGCAGATTGTATTTCCTCTGGTACAAACGAATCTGGTATTTCTAAACACAGGAGAAATCATATGTTCAGTTGCATTTAAAGGATGATCCACAAGCTACACAAAATAGGTAAATATTGTTAGATAACAGCAGTTACCGTCAACATCTTTTAACCCAAAGAGATCCACAGCAGCCGCTAGGAAAAGCGCAGTTGTGTCAGTGGTGAAGAAGTGCTTGTAGGCAATGTAGTCAGCACGGGGACCCTGCTTGGCATTGCTGCACCTGTGACATTCATATTTACTTTTAATACTTCTACTGCACACGGCCATCTTTGTTTCCCACTTAACGCACAGTGGGTATGCACACATGCATGAAAACACACGCACACACGCACGCACGCACGCACACGCACACACACACACACACACACACACACACACACACACACAATATGCTGGTCAATTCATAGACCCAAAACAAGCATGCACGCATGCACGCATGCACACACACGCCCAAAAGTCGTAAAGCCATACCAGACTTGTCAATTCATAGACCCGATTTGCAGGGGGTCACTCTATAGTGGAAAGTGGTGCAATTGTTATTGAAACACATTACAAAAGACGATGATTGGAGCAAATGTGTTTCTTTTTGTGCGTTGTCACAACTGTGAAGAGAGTGGTACAAATTTAAAAAAATGTTGAAGTCATTGATAGCCAGCAAAACATGTTTTGCTGGCTGAGTAGGCTATGCTGCTCTAATATAAATATGTCGACATATATTCATAACAGTTGACGTACCTTAACTTTGTCATGTTGGCACACAGCGTGCCATGGTCCTTGCCAGACTTGCCACTGAAGAATACCTTGTAGTGTATCTACGACCAAGGAAAATTAAAAGTCATTAAAGAAATGCTACATTAAAAACAGCACAGAGAAAAAATTGAAAGAACACTTAAACCTCAAAAAGCACTCGAATGGCATGCCAGTCCTCAAACTTGAACACCATGCCTTCAAGCCTCTCTTCATTGGTGTTTCCATCTGCAAAGGCACACTGTATGTTTCGACAGTTTGCCTCAGTGAGCCTGTCACCTCCCACCAGTATTTTGGACACACCGTCAGGGCCTTTGGGAGCATACCTGCAATGTTTACAGAGATAGTAGGTTTACAAACAAATAATAAAATAATCCCAATTTACCCTCCCTGCAGAACATAAATGTAAAAATTAGCTTGTGATTATAGATGTTAAAATATGAACAATTAAAAGTTGTCACTTGTGTATATTGTTTTGTTTTTTACAGTTTCATATAAATCTAAAACATTAAACAAAACTAATAATCACTTTATTAAGCCAGTAAATAAATAATCATGGATTAGCCAAGTGTCTGTACTTATAAACTAACAGCAAAAAAGTTGTTTAACAAGTTTGTTTTATATACACAGTAGTGGGACCATGACATCTGTAACATCTTTTTTGGCCAAAACTCGTAAAAGGCGTAAATTTCTGCAGGAAGGAAGGTTGTGGCCTGCCATAAAAGCTTAGCTAAATAGATTCAGATAGGTGGGATTGCCTCAAACTATAATTTCTGTAGTGTCTCTGGTGCTCTTCTGGATCATAACAACTTCAAAAGTAAATGTGGAAGGAAAAGGTGATGATCTGAGGCACACCGATCTTAGCTAAAGAGAATTATATAACTTGAATAATAACATAAATATAATTTCTGCCGTTACAGTTTCTCAATCTCTACGTTGGTTCTCTGTATGATAACAGCAGGCATTCTTACTGCAATAAGTTTGGGATCTGAAATAGAATAGGGTTGGCACAAATACATGCACACACAGAAACTCATGTTGCTAACACTCGTACTTACTTGTGCTGAATTTCTTGTAGTACTTCAGACAAGTCAGTGGTTTTGTTTTCATTTTTGAAAATCAATCCCAACGGATGCTGTAATTAAAAATGGGGTCACAAATTAGAAATTTTAATACAATAATAGTGACTGGTTGTTAGAGTAATTAATACAATGTTAGTTTCAAATCTCACATCCGTTGAGGGTTGTGCCATTTCCTCCGAGTACTGATGTGGTATGTGATGCACCACAACATTGCGAAAAGATTTGAAAACTGCCAGATACTGTGTCAAAATTCTACTACCAATGACAATAAACTCTCTCCGCATATATGTTTGTGTTTCATGTCCTGGAAGTGACATAGTGAGGTTGTACAGTTGAAGATCCAAAAGCGGTATGTCGTTGGCCAGGTGATGTGTTGGAATACGATCCTGTACAGCAATGTGGTGTATCCAGTGAATGGATCTGTTACTGTGGAGGGTGGACTGATGGTGTGCATGCATGAAAAAATCCAAGTTATCCATGATTATGGAATATGTGTTTGGTGGAGTTGGCTGGCTCTCTGGCAGAAGCACAGACATGATATTTTCTTCTTCAGTGGCCTTTTCTTCACTGCATTCCAACTCCTCCTCTGTTGTGACACACCAAAAATACAGAGACATAAAGGAAATGTACACACATGAATCAATGAAGTCATCTGGGTGTGTGTATGTTAGACCATACCTGACAACTGAAGTTCTTCAGTGCTCAAGAAGACATCTGTGGGGATAAGTTCTGGTTTGCGCGATGGACTCATTGCCTTTTTGTCCTCTCTGAGGCCAACATTTCTATGGCGCTCAGTCTCCAGAGTCAAGAATGATTCGTTCAGCCTCTTTAGCAGGAAAAGACTGTCTCCACATGTGTTTGCCAACTCCTTTTGCTTTCCTATTGCATTTGTGTGAGCAGTTGTTATTGCAAGTTTGCTAAGTCTGTCAAAGACAGCCTTCTTTGCACCCCCATACAGAAGAACACAGTTCAAATAATGAGCAAATGCTGACAGACGGGGTTGTCGCCCTCTGAGTGCGATAGCAGAAGCAGCACAGATGACAGGACTGGAGTTGTTGCAGATGGTAGCAAAGATAGAGAACAGAAGTGGTGACAGACGCTGTAGGTCTGATTCAAGCTTGTCAAATGAGAAGGACTTCAGATCTTCTGGCGATGACCTCCACAAAATGAAATTGTTGTTGGGGTTGCAAATTGTCTTGCACTCATTCTCAAGCAGTGAAAGTATGTTTTTTTTTACTTCTTGAGTTAAGTCTTTATGGTTCATGATGAACTTAGCCGCTGCTGCCCATTTCCTGTTAGTGATATGTTCCACTATCGTAGACTCCTCTGTGTCACACACATTCTGCTTGGTGATGGCCTGAAAGATAGTAAAATAAGGTTAGACACACTTCATAGAATGACTCACACATCACAGCCTCTTCAAACACACACACACACACACACACACACACACACACACACACACACACACACGGTTAATGTCATGTAGATTATTTGGAATTTATGGAAGGCCAGCTCACGATGTTACACAGAAAACGCACACACAACACAAAGTAACCTATTTCTCATGACGTGAAGCAGACAACAGCACATAAAGCATATGCATGGAGGCTGCATACACATTAATATATTATATGCCAACTAAGAGATTGTAGAGGCTTCCATTGTCACTGCGGTCTCGTGCCTGGGTAAAAGGAGCCCTCTGATTTATGATATTGTTGTAGTTCACAGATTACATTAGCTAGGACACATTATGCAAAGTCAAAATTTCAAGGCTAACTTGCTAGCATCAATCACGACAATAATGAACTTAACTAATAAAATTAATTAAGGTAGTTCGGTACTGTTTCAGATCACCTATATATACTTGTATATGAGAAGTGGTAGCCTAGCAAACTTACCGCATTAATACTCCTTCTCACATTATTTATTCCTGGACTTGTAGCTTTGTGGCAAAACCTTTTCAGTGCCCTTGGAGTTTTAGGAGGAGACGGTTCTCGGTTTCTTTTTTCGGAGTTTGTCGCGCTTTCTCTTGCACAGGATTCATCGTCCTTCTCGTTTTCCACCCATCTCCAATACAGTGGAAGATATTTTTCCACTCCTGATAACGTAGAGACACAACCCCTACAGACACGGTTAGACTTCCCTGATCGTTTTTTAATCTCCAATCCAACGAGCAAAAGTCTGTCGGGTATACTTGGCGGCTTCTTATTTTTATCAAACAAGGTAGTGCAATGTCCCAGTACACCTGATATTCGCATGTTTTTCATACAAAAACGACAGAAATCATTGATGTTAGATGCCATTGCTGCCTCCCTGAGCTTTTCCGTCGCTGTGATTACGTCACGTTGTTCGTTATTCTGATTGGTCCTAGTGCTATCCAATTGCATGCAGAAAGTTTGAAAGACAACCGTAGAGCCCGCCCCACGACTGAAAGCCCTCAATGGGTCGTGGCCAGACCATATATTCACATATATAGTCTGGCTTGTCAGGCTAGCTCCCTCCTGCAGTCTTCCCCTATTAAAATTTAAAATGTGTAACTTTATGTATTGGGATGAATGGCTAATATTCATGTTAAACTAAAACGTTAGGCATTTAGGGGGAAAAAACAAAATAATAAACATTATACAGATGTCAAATAAATCAAACTGTAATTAAACTATATATTTTCAAAATCATATAGACAGCATGATGGTTTGTGTGATCCGCGCGGTTTCACTTACACCCCTTTAATGATCAGGCTGTTTTTTATTATTTTTATCAGCTGATAGCAGTTAAAATTATGGTAAAAAAAATCTTTATCTGTGTTTGATAACTTAATGCCCAGGAAGAGCATCTTCTCTAGACATTAAATATAACCCAAATGTTTTATTATGAGCAGATCTGATGAAGGTGTAGACAAGCAGTCTGCAAAATAAAACTTGTTTAGAGTCCAAACTCTTACTAAAGCTTTTGAAAAGAAAAAATGGTTGAATTTTGAGAAATATCCACAACAGGGGAGCGAGACCTCTGAAAAATGTATATTTTCTCTGAATTCATAGAATAATTTGAAGATTCTGGGAAAAGTTGGGATTCTGAGATTAAAACGTAAATCTTTCTAATCATAATTCTGGCAGTTTTTGTGTCCTTCTGCTGTGGAAAGTCGTGCAACATGAAGATACTGAGAAGATGCTTAAAACCTGTATTGTTATTCCATCCATAAATAAAATTATGAGCTATTTTTTTAATCCAAATTTGATCCAAAGGGCCATCGTTGGTTCCAGACCCGTTCTAGAACATTCCTCTAATCTTAAAGTCATCATCAGTTTCTTCCTTTTAACAAATATTTATTTGTTCAAATATTTAATATTTATAACTGGAATATTTGTTCCTCCCTCTCCCACTGCAGTTAGTCCTGTCCTGCAACCCTGTTTTTGCAGCTTAGTGAAGCCAACCATCACTAACCTGGGGGTGGTTTTGGACCCAGAGATGAGGACGGACTCCCACATTAGCCAGGTGGTTAGATCCTGCTTTTCCCGGCTTCGCCAGCTACCAAAGATGAAGTCCATCCTGAAAGACGTGTCATATTTTCTCCCCAAGCCGGACCTGACCGTAGATATACTGCAACTCGGTGAGTTGGTAGATAGTGCTTGATGTTAGAAGTCTGTATGCCATCAGATAAACTGGCTCTTTTTTTTGGGGGGGTGGGTGGGTGGGGGGGGGGGGGTGAGGCTTATATTGCAGTACGCACGAGTCAGTAATTTCCGGTAAGTATTTTAAAGCCATATACTTAATTAGTTCTTTGTATGAAGTTTTCCTCTAGGTGATCCAGAGAGGCTTGACCTTTGGGTGAGCAACCAAAACAGAGAGTGCTGGACTCATTCTCCCGCTTGTGCAGTGAACACTTTGAGAATCATCACTTCACCACGGACTCCAGGGTACAAACACATTACTTCATATTTTGGTTGAGATTTAAAAAATTTAAGCATTAGCTGTAGAATATACCGATGTTACATTGCTGTGTAACTAGAAGAAAATCTTCCCCACCCTTGAATTGTCTGTGACTAGGGCTGTTTAGATGGGAAACAATCATGTTATTAATTTCCATCTAAATCTATGGTTAATTACTCAGAGAAACAAATTAATTTTTGACAGTCTTTAATGTGTAACTTTATGTATTTGGATGAATGACAAATATTCATGTTAAACTAAAACGTTAGGCATTTAGGGGGAAAAAAACAAAATAATAAACATTATACAGATGTCAAATAAATCAAACTGTAATTAAACTATATATTTTCAAAGTCTCGATTCTGGATAAAATCCAACAACATATGCTTTATAAATAACAAACACTACACATGGCTTTCACACACACACACACACACACACACACACACACACACACACACACACACACACACACACACACACACACACACACACACACACACACACACACACACACACACACACACACACACACACACACACACACACACATGCAAGCACATTCACTCACACACACAGTGCTCTGGTGTACGTGCATTCTTCAGAAGCTGACCTTGTCTGATGTGTGTGTATGTGAATCTCTTTTTTTTTTAATTAAGTAATTATGTTTTTTTATTTTAGGGGAGAGTTTGCCTGAAGGACACAGCCGTACCTACAATCTTCTCGCCCTTTGTCAAAAAACCTGTTCCAAGAAGGGAAGAACAGGTAAGAAGGAATGACAAGGTAAGTTTTGAACGTCATCAGCTTATCTGAAAGTAAGATTTAAAAGACCCTATCATCTTTGGTGATCTCACGCCTACACAACATCCTTTGTTCTAATGGTGAAATTAATTTAAGCTGATTTTTTACCTGCTGACCTCTATAACTTTATTCCTGTTCCTAATTACAAAGAAACACCTGTGCAGAGGAGGTGTTTTGAAGGTGACAGTTTCTGCTTATCAAGCAACAATTGGCAGCTACAATAAAGCCTGATTCATGCTTCTCTGTCAGCTCCAACAGGGAGAGACACGCACGCACGGACGGGGACGTTTAGCTCTCATACTTCTCCGTCTCCTGGGGAGTGTTGCAAAGCAATTCCCGGACCGGACAGCAGAGGGCGGAGAGCTGTTCTGTGGTATCCTGTCATGTATCGGTCCAAAATAGTGTGATGATATTGTGTTTTTTGTACATAAGAGACTTTTTAACAGACAAATTTGTCGCATTCTCCTACACCTCTTCACGGGCTCGCCACAGTAAATATTCTATTTGGCGAGAGATAAACTTTATTGTATTTATCCTAGTGAATCTATAATTAAACAGGTAAACTAGTAGTAGCACATCCAACGTCAAGGAAAGTAAATAGTTATTATCAGGAGAGGGAGAATGTTTAAGTGGTTAGCAGCAGTGTGCTAGACGATGGCCCCCTCCATGAGGCCACCACAGCTCAGCAGAACATCGTTGTAGCTTCTTCTGGGGAGAAAAACACTTAGAGAAAAAGTAAAGTTAACAGCTGAAATAGCAGGAAATAATACAGTTAAAGAGCAGATTGTAGAAGAAAGAAACCCCTGGGTTAAACTGGTCTGTCTACTGCATAATGCTGAACTCTAACATGTGTCCTCAGGGAAGGACCTGATTGGTGTCCAGAACCTGCTGAAGAAGTACCAGGCTCTGCAGGCTGAGATCACAGGTCATGAACCTCGCATCAAGGCTGTCACCCAGAAAGGAGAGACCATGGTGGAGGAAGGTAGAGCAGGTCTGGTCCTGACATGTTTCTGAGGTGTCTGCAGGTTCTGGCTCACTTTGTTTGGGTCCAGGTCACTTCGCTGGTGAGGAAGTGAAGACTAAACTGTGGGAGCTTCATGGACGTTGAGACACGCTGAAGGCCAAGGCGTCCCAGAGGAGGCAGGACCTGGAGGACTCTCTGCAGGCCCAGCAGTACTTTGCGGATGCTAAAGAGGCCGAGTCCTGGATGAGGGAGAAGGAGCCCATCGTTGGAAGTCCAGACTACGGGAAAGACGAGGACTTGGCCGAGGTATGGAAGTCCCTTCCTGAGAAACTCCAATCGCTTTTCTTTGCTCTCTTTCCAGTCCTTCATAATTAGTGTTTCTGTATTTGTCATTTCCTTCGGTTGTCTACCAGACATCGTTGCTCGTTTGAGCGTCTCATGGGTTAGGGGTAGAAGTGCTGGCCTCGCACAGGAAGTGATGACAAACGTGTTCCCGTCGCTCTTATTTCAAACGGTTTACGAGCTGTGATGTGTGTTCCCGCTGCAGAGCAGCCATGAAACGTGGCAGCCGGCAGAAGGCTCACGCTTTTCCACTAAACACCCGCAGAGCTGCGTCTGCGGTGAACTGAGCAGGGTTTGTTTTCGGTGGTGGATCCGATTGGACCATCGCTGCGAGAAAGCTCCACTTGTGTCAGACGAGCTGAAGGTTCTGATGTTCTGCTCCACAGGCTCTCCTGAAGAAGCACGAGGCCCTGATGTCGGACCTGTCGGCTTACGGCAGCAGCATCCAGGCCCTGAAGGAGCAGGCCCAGTCCTGCAGGGTGAGTTCAGAACCCTCGGCCCGTCAGAACATTCTTATCCACCACGTTCTAACACCAGACCTGTTAACCCGACAGCAACAAGGTAATCAGCAGGTGCTTTTGTCCTGCAGGACCTGAAGGCCAACGAGTCCCGCCTGAGGGACATCAACAAGGTGGCATCTGAACTGGAGTCAGAAGGTCTGATGGCTGAGGAGGCTCCTATGGTTCAGGCTCAGGTGAGCGTCACCTGTCTGCAGCAGCTGGTCCCTCTCACTTCCTGGTTTAACTCTGCTCGTCTCTGTTTGTAGCAACAAGAACATCTGGGTTCTGCTCCTGGAAAGGTGCATGTTGTCCTCCGCCTCCACCAGAACCAGACGTGGTGTTTTTGTTACCACTCATTTGTTTGTTTGTTTGTTTACAGGATGAAGCCGACTCTAACACGGCGTCACCCTGGAAGGTGAGTTCATTCAGCTGATCAGAGGTCACCTCTGATGGCAGCAGTCACGGCCGACCGTGCTGACATCACACAGGAATTCAGGTGACCCGGCAGCACCAGGTGCTGGTGAAAGTGGGGACATGTCAGCTGGTTGCCATGGCTACAGTTATCTTTATGCATCTGTATGACTGCTGACTGGTGTGTGTTTCCTGTGACCTTTGACCTCAGACCGTACGGTTGGGCGTTCAGACGACGGCTAACTTTGATTCCATCAAGGTAAGAGGAAGCTCTTCACTTCCTGTCTGAGCGATCCGTCTCCAGGTTTCCTCGTCCGGCGTCCAGCCCGCTGGCGTCCACCTTCATCTCACCTTCATCTCATCTCACTTCATTTATAGTGCAATACTTTCACATTATCATTTTCCCACACTTCTGTATACCTGTATTTTGTTGTTTTTCAATAAAGAATGACAAATTATTTAAGTTTGGTTTTTGTTGCACACAAATATATATCTGTAAAAAATATCTACAAAGCTAATGTTTACATAACAAGTATGATTGGGTTTTGCAATACGGCACTCAAGTTTATTTTAGTAAGATTTTCAAACCAAGTAAAGTTAGTAAAAAACACATTTCTATTGTCTGCTAAGAAACTGTTGGGATTTAAAATGGGCCTGTTGTACAAAGAACTTGTAAATGATTATTCCTCACTTTTGTCTTAACCAAAGAAATTCCAGTAATTGAGCAAAAACATTTATTTTTAACACTACATTTTATAAAACAGTGCGCAAAGTGTCGGCACATGTATGTATGTCGATGGTCCGCCCCAGCCAAACCAGGAGACACAGACGTCAGGGAGGCCAAGGTTGTGCCTCACGTAGCTGTCTCCAATGATCCAAATGGCTATGGAGGAAAAAATAACAGGTTTGGCCTAGCTGTTTAAAGTACAAAACCATTCATGAAGTGGTCAAGACAAGTACTTGGTACTTACACTTGCTGCTTTGTGTAGCTGACGTTGACACACAGGCTGCCATGGTGACCTTTTAACAGATCTAAGAAAAAAATGTAATAAAAGAATGAAACTTAAAAACTCCCAGACCTCATGTCATATTTACTAATCAGCTATGGCTGATTTATTGTTTAGATCACAGTGAGTTACACTAATTCTAATATATTTTTATTTCTATTATACATACATACTTTTTAACTGTTATTTTCACATGACTGTTATCAGGCTCTCTTGTTCTGGTTCTGATGATAATTCTGTGTCTTCCAGTAAGTTATCTTGTGCTTACTTCATCTGTATAATGTCTCTTTACTTTTGGTGAATTGTACTGAGTCCAGAATAAAGGCTAGTTGGCTGTACAAGATACAAACAAGTATTACGTTTTGGAAATATATGAAACACCGCCAGCATCTGTTAGAGCCTGTGGCGGGGTGCTGAGGGCCGGCTCCAGCCCAGGAATGAGCTCTCCACGCCGGCCGGGAGGGTTTGAAACACCGCCATCCTCTCCTCTGCTGGCTGTTCATTCTGTTATGGTTACCGGTGCTTGTGTTGCAATGTTAAACGCTTGGTCTCGGATTTTGTAAGAAAGATAATAAAATGTCCCCCCAAAATACGACTTAAATATATTTTCTCTTCTTCATGATACATTTAATGGCTGGTGCGACTCAGGAGTGATAGCGCCGAAAAAAACTGTACTGAAAACTTGCTCAAAGCAAAATGTTTTCATTACGGAAATAAATTATAAACTTACCGATTTAAAACTTTTTTAATACAGGTACTTCTCACGAACAGGCGCAGAAAACCTCCACCTAAACTCCGTGTGAGGGTCAGGTCGTTGGGTGTTCCAGTTAGCTCCGGTTGCATTGAAGCTAGGTGGCTACATCCGTTAGCTCGGCTCCCACCTCCGCTTTAGCTTTGGGTTAGCCAGGGTTAGCTTCAGGTTAGCTCGTAGCTAGTTCGTCACTCGATCCCAGCCTTACAGCCCCACCCTCAGCACCTCCTCTCTTCCCTTTTATGGAATTGTCTGGGCTGGACGGAACCTGTGACATGGTCAAAATGGCGGTGGTGGCCACCTCCCATTATGGACAAAAAACGTGTTATTGGAGCCTATGGAATCCGTCCAGTATGTACAGTCTATGCTCCTAACACACAGAACAATCAGGCCCGGTAAAATAACCGATGATAGTGACTTTCTCCTCAACAGGCTGAGCAGATCGTCCATCGGCCTCCAGCTCACCAGCTAATCTCTTAAATCTGCTTGAAGAAAAATAATGTCACTAGTGCCATTTTCAGTGAGAGGTGGGGGGACATCATGTCAGAACTCCTGGGATGTAATGAAGCCCGTAGGGCTGAGATCATGTTAAATAAAAGCTGTTAGGATTGCTGAGCCATGCCTGATTTCAGATGCAAGATCAGCATTTTTCAGCTGAAGCAGCCAGAACTCAGACGCGCGCACACACACACACACACACACACACACACACACACACACACACACACACACACACACACACACACACACACACACACACACACACACACACACACACACACACACACACACACACACACACACACACACACACACACAGTCTCCAGTTTAGAATTTTACTCCTTTTTGATCATTTTCATTTTGTCGTATTTCACCCTTCTTTCCAGTACTTTCCAGTAATATGTTCATTCACGGAGACCTTCAACCACCGGGTCGACTACAGGAGGCTTTGGCAAATATCTGACATCACTCTTTTGGCCTTCCATTAAAAATCAAATCATGTTCACACCTGTCAATGGTCTTTATGTGAATCAAACAGCCAAATGCAGTTCCTTGGATGCTTTGTCGAATTATTTTTTACAATAAAAGTCTTAAGAAATGTTTTTTTTTCATTGTCAGGTTTAAAAACAACAACTCCTTATAGTATATGGAATTCTATAAATTCCGATATTTCTGTTAAGACAAAAAAATAAAAATAAAATACCTATTCTGCACATGTAATGGGTTTTATACGGGTGGAGGAGCAGGGGGTTGTGGGTAAATCGAGCTGCTCAGATGATGCTCAGTGGGACTCCCTGAATGTTGAGCAATGGAGGTTTGCCCTCTGTTGACCTCATGCTGCCAACAGAGAAAGGAAGCCGAGCCTGGAGGGTGGGCCTACCACCACCAACCCTCCCCTCTTCGCCTGCTGTACAGCTGCACAGGGATCCTGTCCTTGGCGAGTCCACTAGTTGAATGTGACATGAATTCACAAAGTGATCAGTTCAGGGCAGAGCAGCAGCTTCTTCCAGCAGGGTGCACTACCATCACCGGGCAGCAGAGGAAACGCCTGCTGGGAGGACAGCTGAATCCTTAAACACACAGATGTACACATTATGCCTTAAGCTGAACAATCTATTTTTATTCTGTTCAGTTTCTACTTTATTTAACCTGAAATCAGAAATAGTTGATTTATGTGATACAAACTTTTTGAGACAAAATAGAAAAAACAAAAATTGCATGAAACCAAACTGGTTTTAATGAAAGATTTAAGGTTTTTATGCTGTGGGTTGTGGTGTACACATTAAACGCACTTCGCATCATTAACGAAACATGTATAGAACGCTTAATAATCATAAATATACCATATGAAGTCATAACACAGTAAACCCAAATCCCCACTTTTGTTATTGTCCTCTTCCCATTAACAGAATACTTTATACATACTGCTTAGTGATTGATTTATTCTATACACTTCACATTTTTCATCCACAAACCAAGACCAATAAATTGTATTACAGTTTAAAACAAATCTTGCATATTTCCATTTAGACTATTTAGACTTAAGGTCAAAATGGGTGTCAATGGTAGTTTTATTTTTATTTTTATTTTTTTGTTGCAACCATTCTGAAATAGCTAATGCATGCTCTTTGGGTCTGTCTCAGTATTTTGTTAATCCAGTGAATCAGCAGGTATGAAAGCATCTGAACAGACACGGTAACAAACCATGATGTCACATGACCACTCCTCTGTCAGCATATTAAAGAGCTATGGAGACTCAGTTTTGATGCCAGGACCATGTTCTGTTGCTAAATACGTAATTGTGTAAATAATGGCGGACCCTGGGAAGTGCGGAGGTTCGGCAGGATCCACAATCAGATGGCACAATAGTCTGTTTTGGACTGGGGAGGAAAAATGCTTGAGAACCAGTTTATTATTTCTGTCTTTTTTGAACCACCACAAGATATTTACAGCTGTACTGTGTTAGAACGTTGTTAAGAGGCATGGCAAAAAGGTTTTGCGCCAACTTGATTTTCCTATTTGCTTTTGTAGCTTTAATAAAACAGATTAGAAACTGTTTGGTAAAATTGCCAGAAAAACAAAAACAAATTTTACCATTCTCTCTGTATCTTCCCTTGTTCTGGCTGGTCCATTTATCCTTAGCCTGGTTCTGGTTCTGCTGAAAGTTTATTCCTGGTTAAAGTTGGATTTCCTTTCCTCCATCATGTTTAGGCTGTGCTTAGAATTGTTGCTTGTTGAGCCGCCCTTTGAGGCGACTTTTGTAGAAAAGTGGTTCTATGTTAAGTGGATGTGTGTGGTTAAGTTAGATCAAGCCAGAACAGAAAGGTGATGCTCGTTTGTTGTAACTTTATTGATCAGGAGACAGACAGTCTGAGATCTGAGAAGATTTTAGTTGATATAGACAAAACTAGACTCCGGTCACATCTTTCCTTTGTCCTGTGGATCAATGTAGCCATCTGGTGGCAGCAGGGAGTTAAAGCGCAGCAGGGTCAGGTCCATGGAGGGGCAGTGCTCCTTCACTGGGACCCAGCCCTCTCTGATGCCTCTTGCAGGAGGTGGTGGGGGCAGGTCACACTCAGATGGGTGTGGAGTAGCTGTCATCAGAGTGTAGGTGGTTGTTGTTTGGGTCAGGGGGAGAAATGCTGTCTCTGCTGTTGCAGTGGACCAGGAAAGTTCCTCGGTGGGGGCGGTGGTACAGGGTCCCAGCCACCACCATCAAGGTCAGAATGAGTAAGCTGAGCAGGAAGAAAAGCACGTAGACGCCTTTACTCTCTGAGGTCAGGCCTGAAGTGCAACCTGGAGGCAAACATCAAATCAGACAAGTGTGCGTGCATGCGTGTGTGTGTGCATGTGTGTGTGTGTGAGATGGGGTGAGAGGGTTAAGGCAGGGCAGACCCACCTGCAGCCTGCGACTCCATGCATACGGTTCCTCCTGATCCCAGTCGGGACTCATCCTGGAACCCTGGCCTGTAGTGGCAGGAGTACGTTCCAAACTGATTCACACAATCAGCGTTAAAATTGCACATAACCAGCTGGGTTCCACACTCATTCACATCTGAAACAGCCAGAGACCCCTGATTATTATGGTACTATGTTTATATTGATCATTCTGTCAGTTATTTCATTGACTGAATATTCTACACATCACCTACACAAATCAAAATGAATGGCTTCTGTTAATTTATTCTCATCTCTAGATTATCAGTATACAGTACCAAGAGTGACAAAAAGAAAAATCTTCCTTATGCATTTCCAAATTTACAGCCTGAATGTTCAAAATGTTGTTAAAACGTCGTCTTTCTGCTCTTCACTTACAGTAATGCCTCGAATAAAACCTGCAGGAACCGCATATCACACTAATGTGGGCCTGGACTGTGTTCTAAAGATTTCCACAGATATTTGTTGTCTGGACAATGGCCAGTCTGACCACATGATGTGCATTTAGCAGCCTAGTTTCTTTTTGGATATGAAGGTCATTCTGTTTCAAAAAGCACAAACTTGTAGATCTGTTGTGTGTATTTGTACT